GTAGCGCGCCTTGAACACAGGCGGTGAACCAGGCGGCCGCTTCACCTTGAAGAGCCACATGCCATCGACTACGTTCGCCCTGGGAGGGGGAACTGCGTCGACGTAGGTGCCTGTGGATCTCCAAGACGCTAACTCCGAGGCCATAGCCGCTTTCCACTGTGAGGCCCACGCCCCTGACACTGCCTCGCGGTAAGTGCGAGGAGTCGGTATGTCAAGGGCGTCGGGGTCTCCCTCAGGGGATAGCAGCATGGCACAGACAGAGGGAGAAGCGGCTGCCCAGTACTCCAGCTCAGACTCTCTGTCCTCTAGGACGTCACAGCCAAGGGAAAACCCACCCCCGACGGACAGAGGACGGGAGGGAGGAGCTGGCACCACACGGGTGGTGTAGTCAAGGCGACTGGCGGCAGCAAACTCAGCGACAGCGGCAGTGAGAGCCGAGATAGACGACGGAGGGAAACGAGAGTCGGTGACAAGAGTGGCGAGGACACGAGAGACAACATGACGAACAGCGCGGTAGTAGTCAGTGACAGGATTAGGGGGGAAAGGGAGAGAGGACGGAGGCGGAGACGGGAGAACGGACTCAGGAGGAGGACGACGAAGAGACGAACAAAGGAGGGCAGTGCGGAGGTCGATAACGGGAGACGAGTGACGAGCACGCGGAGGACAAGGACGGACACGAGAGTGCGGGACACCAGGTGGAGGAGACTGCGGTGGAGGAGAAGACCAGACCGCCGGACTGGCGTCAGGAGGAGAAAACGTGGGACCAAACGCTGGAGGGGACGGAGTGTGAACAGGAGGAGAGGAGGGAAGACCAAGGGCCCGAAGGCCACTCATGGGTGGGAACAACTGCCGCTCCAGAGGGAGCTGCTGTGGTCGCAGCTGCGGCGGCGGTGTCTGCTGCTGCTGCGGCTGCTGCTGCTGCCGCGGCTGCTGCTGCTGCTGCTGCTGCTGCCGCTGCTGCTGCTGCTGCTGCTGCTGCTGCTGCTGCTGCTGCTGCCGCTGCTGCTGCCGCTGCTGCTGCTGCTGCTGCTGCTGCCGCTGCTGCTGCCGCTGCTGCTGCTGCTGCTGCTGCTGCTGCTGCTGCTGCTGCTGCTGCTGCTGCTGCTGCTGCTGCTGCTGCTGCTGCTGCTGCTGCTGCTGCTGCTGCTGCTCCAGCAGGTCCAACTGCCGCAACTCCTGCCGCTCCCTCTCCAACAGCACCTGCTCCTCACGCTCACGCCGACGGGCCGCCTGGAGACGTGTGTCGTGGCGGTGGGGAGGCGGAGTGGACTCCGCAGAACCAGTGTCTCCAGCTCCAGTCTCCTCAGAACCAGCACCTCCAGTGCCAGCGCCTCCAGCACCAGCACCCCCAGAACCAGCACCTCTAGGACCAGCACTCCCAGAACCAGCACCTCCTGTGCCAGCACCTCCAGCTCCAGCACCCCCAGAACTAGTACCGCTAGTGCCAGGACCTCCAACTCCAGCACCCCCAGAACTAGCACCTCCAGTGCCAGCACCTCCAGCTCCAGCACCCCCAGAGCTAGCGCCACCTGCGCCAGCACCTCCAGCTCCAGCACCCCCTGGGCTTGCGCCACCTGCGCCAGCACCTCCAACTCCAGCACCCCTCAAACGAGCACCCCCAGACCGAGTACCGCCAGTGGCTGCACCTCCAGCTCCAACACCAACCGAGTCCACAGTAGCCTGTCGCGGAAGTACCGAAGGCTGCTGAGGGGACCGTGAGGAGGACTGCGGGGAGGGAGACGCTACCTGACGCGCGACCGAGGGTAGAGGGGTAGCGTGAGACACACCTGACGGGACAGGACTAGAGGGGGGTGGGGGTACCGGAGGAGCGGGAGCAGGGGGAAGAGAGGGTGCAAGGAAAAGGGGGGGAGGGGGAACCGGGAGACCTCGACAGGGGTACAGGGTGTAGTAGGACACTGACTCGTCGAACCGGACGTCACGGGAGTCTAGGAACTGGTGGAGGGGCGGGTGGTAAAAGGACCAGTCGGCCGAGGCTACCGGGAAACCAAGGAAGACACAGAGGACGGCGCGAGCCGAGAGCTTGTCCGCAGAGGTGTCGCGGACAAGCGCAAGGCAGCCCCAGACACGAAAAGCTGACCCAACACCAGGGGACCCGGTCCAAAGACTGGTCGGTGAAGCCTCTGGCCGCGAGACGCGCGGCTGGAGGTTCAGCTGGTGAGCGGCGTAGCGAACCGCGTAGGGCCACAGAAAATGGGGCGCGCGGGCATGAAGCATGGACGTGCGGGCGATGTCCATGACCAAGCCAATGCGGCGCTCAGCAACCCCATTCTGCTGTGGGGACTCCGGCAGCGTCCAGGACTGTACGATGCCCTGCTCGCCACAGAATCCGGCAAGAATGCCTGAGCGAAACTCACCCCCACGGTCAGAGTGGAGACAGGAGACACGACGGCCACGAGTGCCCTCAGTGGCTAGAAGCCACCGGATCAGCGTAGAAGTCACCTCGGACTTCTTCGCGAGAGGAAACACCGTGGTGTACCTGGAGAAGTCGTCGACGACCACCAGAAAGTAGCGCTCCCTCTCAGGTCCCTGCGTAGGTGCAGGGCCCCAGACATCCAAGTGGAGTGTCTGGAAGGGAGCAGTGGCCGGACGAAGGGAGGAGGAGTGCGGAGTGGCACGAAGACGGCCGGCGCGGCGGCGCAGGCGAGGGAGCGAGCGACGGGAAGACGCGAGGGAGACCTGAGACAAGACGGTGACTAGCCATAGTGCGGAGGCGGGGGATCGACGCGTGGCCAAGACGGTGGTGCCACAAGACGGTCCGGTGGGTGAAAGACCGACACGAGCAAGACGCAACAACTAGACCGGACACAGCAACCTGACCGGACACAGCAACCTGACCGGACACAGCAACCGGTGGGGACGCAGTAACCTGACCGGACGCAGCTACCTGCGGGGGCGGAGTGTGCAGGACGAAGAGACCTGAGTGGGGCTCTCTGGTGAACGTGGCAAGAACTGCCCCGGTGGAAGAGTCCATACAGATCGCAGTCCTCCCGTGCGCAGGAAAAGTGACTGTGATCCCCCGGTCCTGAAGGTATCCAACACCCACCAAGTTCCGAGAGAACGAGGGGATGTAGAGACCAGTGAGGAAACCAGAGGGGACAGCTGGGCACGGGAGGGTGGTCGAGCTGCGAGCAACTGCTGGTCCTGAAGTAGGATCAGCCAGGGCAACTGGGACTGGAGCCGAAAGAGGTGTGACAGTGGTGTGGTCGCGGAAGAAGCACTGAGACGCGCCGGAGTCCAGCGTGAAGGAGAGCGACGCAACAGCAGTCGTCACGGCCGGGCTAGTAACTACACAAGCACGTACACTAAAAGCACAAGTACCGACACTAGCAACAGGCAAAGGTCCTAAGCTAGGTACACGTAAGCCAAGAGATCCGTATGTGACAGAATAAACAGCATCCATAGACATATCAAACACAGGGTAACCACTACGAAACAGACCGGGCCAGATCGGGGGAGCCGACTCATGCCCAAAACGCTCAAGGTAAAGGTCGTCGAGGCGGCTGTAGCAGCGCTGTGCAGAGTGGTCATGACGCCAGCAGGTAGTGCCAGCACCAAGGCCGGTCAGGATCTGGTACTGGCAGGGGTCGACGTCGCGGCCACCGCGACGAGCCCCCCAGCTGGCTGGGCCGCTGTTGCAGCCAACGCGACCTGAACCACCAGGCCTCCACGGCTGCTGAGGGCGCCACAGCTGCTGAGGGCGCCCCTGCTGCTGCAGAAGCCACTGCTGAAACGGCCGCTGCTGCTGTCCCTGCTGCTGGAGAACCCTAGTGGACTCCATGATAAAAGCTAGCGCGGTGCAGGAGCGGCAGGCTAGGAGCGACAGGAGCTAGGGACGGCTGCAGTGAAAAACGAGAACAACTAGGAGCGCCAGGTGAAACTAGGCTAGTAACTGCTGGAGGACGGAGCGAACTAAGCTAGTAGCGAGGAGCGAGAACGGCTGGAGCGAGAACGGCTGGAGCTAGAACAGCTGGAGCACAACCAGCTGGAGCTAGAAACGGCGAGCTAGGGCTGGCTGGAGGTAGGAACGGCCGGAGCTAGAGACCGTAAGTGCGGCTGTCGGCTGCCGCTAGTAGAGCCACTGGCAGTGGAACGTACGTGCGACAGTAGGTGCTGCAGTACTGACGGCTGCGGGATGCAGGCAACTGTGAAGGTCGTCCGGCAAGCAGGAACGCGGGCGACAGTTGCAGGCCCCCAACCTAAACCCTTTTTTTTTTTTTTTTTTTTTAGGGTTTAATTAATTATTTATTTATTTTCTGGCGCTAAAGCGCTCCGGGGCGAGCTGCCTGCAGGGTGTGCTGCCTGCGGGGCGCGCTACCCGCGGGGCGCGCCGCTGCGGGGCGCGCTACCCGCGGGGCGCGCTACCCGCGCGGCGCGCTGCCTGCGGGGCTGGGGCGACGGGCCAGGGCGCGGGCTGGGGCGACGGGCTAGGGCGCGGGCTGGGGCGACGGGCCAGGGCGCGGGCTGGGGCGACGGGCTAGGGCGGGCGCCTGGGCGACGGGCTAGGGCGGGCGCCTGGGCGTCGGGCTAGGGCGGGCGCCTGGGCGACGGGCTAGGGGCGCAGGCTAGGGGCGCTGCGGGCGCTAACGCGCGGAGGAGGAGGGCGCTAAGGCGCGGAGGGCGCGGAGGGCGCAAGGGTGCGGAGGGCGCTAGGGCGCGAGCTAGGCTAGGCTAGGCGAGAGGATCGACACCTACTCATGATACCATCTCAAAGTTAGCGAACAACGGAATGTGTGAACTAGGGAAACAAGGGATACAAATAGCAACCCTAAAAGTGTTGTACTCCCTAGAGTGCTACTCAATGTAGCCTAAGAACCTATAATAACATTTGACACTGCGCACCACCTAACAGGACAGCAATAGAACTACACTACAGCTAGAACTACATGCAGTTATACAGAAATATATTTGGATAAAATAAGCTTGATCTACGCTGAACCATAAAAAAAAAGGCTGAAGTATAGGGCCCTGGCTACTACCCCCTACAGTTGTGAAGGAAGGGGAACAATGTCCACGCTGCTGACCTTGAGCGCACGGGCGCCCGCTTCCATCGGCCTCCGAATCACCACATTGAGCTTCCCCAATAGCGAAGTGTTGTCTCCATGGCATGATTGTCTGACCCCCTCGTTGTCCTGTCCACGGCGTTGTGCACTCGCGCGGAAGCGCACGGTATTTGTGCTTGTATTGTGACATACCGGTACTGTAATCATATGGTCGAGCAGGCAGGAGGCACTTGTATTGTATATATTTTCGCCCTTTTCCTTGTTACTGTAACTCATTGTACTGCAGCGAAATCAACCTACATTTACAGAAGAGCCTACACCATGGTACGACGAATAGACACACCTTCTACCGTACAAAAGAAAATGTCATACCCTGCATGACCAAGTAGGTACGTATGGGTAGCAGGAAAAAACACACAAGAGAGACAAGTACGTCAGATGAGGACAAAAAAAAAACAATCACATCAGTTGTCTATACATATAAATAACATAAAAAAGGGTTTATGTTTGAGTGAACACAGTACCCACCTGCTAGCAAGCAGCTTGGAGCATCCATGATTGCCATGCTGCAGTGCCACTTGCATGGGCGTCCTGCCCTCAGCATCAGCCACATTCACCACCGCCCCCCACAGCAGCAGCAGCTCCACCATTGCCTCGTCGCCCCTCTCACACGCCACATGCAGCAGCCTCTGCCCCGTTCTCCCCGCACCGCCTCTTGTGATCCCTGGTCCAGCTGGCGCCGTGCTGGCGACGGCCCCGACCACGTCAGCGTTGACGTCGACGGGCGCGGTGACGAGGAGGCGGAAGGCGGAGCGCACGTCACAGGAGGCAACTGCTGCTCGCAGGTGGTGCAGCGCGGTCAAGGGGTTGTCGGTGGCGGGCGCTTGGTAACGGCGCTCCACATACTGGAAGATGGTGGGGTGGTGGCGTGGGGAGGATGGAACGGGGGAATGGGGAGAGGGAAATAGAAGAAGGGAAATGGGATTTCACAGTGCAAGGCGAGAGTGCTGCTGTTCACTTAGCACACGTCGCAGGAGCCGGAAAGGCGGAGCGGACATCGCAGGAGGTGACTGCTGCTCGCAGGTGGTGGAGTGCCGTCGAGGGGGTGTCGGTGGTGGGCGCGAGGAAGCAGCGCTCCACATACTAGAAGATGGTGGGTTGGTGGCGTGGACGGGTGGTGACATGGAGGGGTGGTGGGATGGCATGCGGAGGAGGGAAGGGGGAAACGGGGGAAGGTTGAAAAAATAGTAACGGGGAAGGGAATACACAGTACGAGGGGAGAGTGCTGCTGTTCACACATGGCACATCGCATGAGGCGACTGCTGTGCGGAGGTGGTGCAGCACGGTCGAGGGGGTGTTGTTGGAGGGGGCGAGGAAGCGCCGTGCCACGTACTGCAAGATGGGGGGGAGGTGTTGTGGAAGGGTGGTGGTATGGGGAGGAGGGAAAGGGAGAAAAATAGGAGAGGAAGCGCCGTGCCACGTACTGCAAGATGGGGGGGAGGTGAGATTAGGGGGTGGCAAATAGAGAGTCTGTGTCTTTGAGGGCCAATGAGTCTGTCTGCCGGCTTGACTGTTGATCCGACTGAAAAGCGACACTAAACCGTAAACCCTGCACACGCGTGTCCCACTTACCCACCTTGCAACTGATGTATTCTCTTTCACTGCAATGAGTCCGTGCCTGCTGGCTTGACTCTGAAGTGACAATTTCCTCAAAAGTGACCCTAGACCTTAAAGCCTGCACATGTGTGTACCACCCACCTTGCAGTGAATGTAATGCTCTTTCACTGCCAGTGAGTCCGTGTCTGCTGGCTTGTGCACCGCAGCAGGCGCTGCTGCTGCTAAAGCGGGCATTGACACCCCTCCATCGTTGGCCAACAGGATGTAATCCTCCCCCTCGCCCTCCTCGCCCTCCACTCTACGTGGTGCCATGGTAGGAGGGAAGTGATGGGAGAAGCGGCGGGCGAGGAGGAGAAAGCGAGGGGGAGAGTGAGACAGAGAGTGGGAGAAACGGGCAGTTGAATAGTGAAAGGGTGGAGGAAACGTGTGGGGCGACGATATGGTATGCTATCGTATGGTTTGGTATGGTGTGGTGTGGTATGGAATGGTATGGTATGGTGTGGTGTGGTATAGAATGGTATGGTTATGATACGGTATGTTGGACTTATGGTATGGTGTGGTATGGCCTGCCGTATCATGGTATGGTATGATATAAAATTGAATATGGGCAAAGCACCACACAGCACAGCACCACACAGCACAGCACGACACAGCACAGCACCACACAGCACAGCGCACCACCGCACAACATACCGTGTCAGGGCACGGCCTGAAGAACCTGCATTCCCTTCTCTCCCCCCCTGAACGTCTTTGAGCTGCTGCTCCCACACGCTGTTGGCAAAGTCATTGCCCACTATGGCCATCAGCCGCACCAGCGGTGCCGTCCACACCTTCACGTCTAGTGTCAACGAGCGCACCTGGTAGTGGGACGCACAGGGTGCAGAAGCACAGGGGAGGGGGAGGGAGAGGGCTAATGAAGGCGGGACAGAAGTTCCTTCTATTGCTATCAGCCGCACCAGTGGTGCCGTCCATACGTTCACGTCTAGTGTCAACGATCGTACCTGGTGGCAGAGAAGCACAGAAGGGAGAAGTCGCGGAGGGAAGGGGGAAGTCGCGGAGGGAAGGGGGAAGTCGCGGAGGGAAGGGGGAAGTCGCGGAGGGAAGGGGGAAGTCGCGGGGGGAAGCGGGATGAGGTTAGTAAAGTCGTCTCCCAAGGCTCTTTCGGTGACCATAAGGCACACATCAGTAGAGCTGTCCACCACACCAACACATTCTGGTGCACGCCAGAGCAGAGTTGACTTTTGAGTGGACTCAAAAGTCAACTCGTAGAGCTGTCCACCACACCAACAGATTCTGGTGCACGCCAGAGCAGTCAACGCGGAGCAGTCAATGCAGTGCAGAGCAGCACGCAGAGATTGAGCGTCACCCAGTCAGGGTGGGTACGGGCGCCTTATACCGTGACCTAATACTAGGCACACCCCGCCCCGGCTACTGAGATCTCTACTGCTAAAAGCCCACGTGCCACTTGCGATTTTGGCTCAAGCATAGAATGAGTTGCAAGCATAGCTTGGAGCGGTGCAACCCCAAGTTCCTCCAGTGTATGCCGGAGCAGTCGATGCAGAGCAGCATGCAGAGGTTGATAACGCGCAGTTGGTCAGGGCGGCTCATACCATGACCCAATTTCAGGCATTCCCCGACCCGGCTACTGAGCTCTTGACTGCTTGAAGCCCACGTGCCGCTTGTGAGTTGCACACATACCTTTGAGCGGTGCACGCCCAGGTTCCTGTGCACGCCAGAGCAGTCGATGCAGAGCAGCACACGGAGGTTGAGCGACGCCCAGTCGGGGTGCCTCATGTCATGGCTACGCACACCCAGTGACTGAACTCTCCACTGAAGGCTGAGCGCTATAAATCATATACAAGCATACCTTGGAACGATGCACGCCCAAGTTGCGGTGCACGCCAGAGCAGTCGATGCAGAGAAGCACACAGAGGTTGAGCGACGCCCAGTCGGGGTGCGCCCGGCTGCAATCGGCACAGCGGTCGTTGCCGCTCACATAGCCCAGCACCTCCAGTGGCCGATCCACTATGGGCAGCACTGCTGCCTGCCCGTCTTGTGATGATGCCCGGTGGGAGATGGTTAAGTCCGCCACTGATGGGGCCGGCTGGAATGGGGAGAAGGGGGGAGCAAAGAGGAGGGGAAGGGCGAGGGGAAGCAGTGCAGCAAGAGGGAGACGGTTGAGGTGAAACAGGGAAGAAGCGGAAGACAGTGGATGAAGGGGAAGAAGAGGAGAGACCAGCGGCCGTTGACGCTGACATAGCCCAGCACCGCCAGCAGTGCTGGAGCAGTGCTGCTGTGGCTAGTGAGGGCTGCCCGTCTGGAGCAGTGCTGCTGTGGCTAGTGAGGGCTGCCCGTCTGGAGCAGTGCTGCTGTGGCTAGTGAGGGCTGCCCGTCTTGTGATGATGCCCGGAGGGAGATGGTTAAAGTCGGGCACTGATGTGGCTGGCTGGAGTGGGGAGAAGGGTGGGTGGGTGGAGGGTGAGGGGAGGAAGTGCAACAGGAAGAGAAGGGGGAGATGGGGGAAGGGAAGGAGGGGAGGAAAGGGGACGAGGGGAAGGAAGCAGGGGGAGCAGTGGGAAGGGGGAGGGGGAAGAGCAACGTTGCCACATGGTGCTTGCGACGCCACTGGCATGTGAACGAGGACGCATCGGGCACTAGCTTTCATAAACAGAGGGGCAAAACGAGAGGCGGTGAGAACGAGAGGCGATGAGTGCGTGCAATGGAGGAGAGGGGGTCCCACAAGGAGCTGAAGCTTGTGCTGCGGTGCACAGATGGGGCAAAGAAAGACAAGCAGAACCGGCGGGCAAAACAAGCTGGCAGGATAGCAAGCAAAACAGGCGGAAAGCAGGGAAGCAAAGGAGGCATGGGGGCAGGGAAGTAGGGAGGAGGCACCTGCGCGGTGGTGTGGGAGTTGAGCAGCGAGGCAATGACGGCCGTGATCTTCTCCATCCAGTCCCTCTGCTCCGCTGCACTCTCCGCCTGCCACCCACCGCACATGCATGCATTAAGATGGGTCCACCACATTGGGTACTTTTCTAAAACTTCTCAACTACGTTGATTAAAAATGGGGAGGAAGAACGGCGCCAATGCCAGTGCGGTCGACTGCAAGCATACCCATCCCCAACCCGCCCCCATCCCCATCCCCATACCCACTCCAAATTGCCATTGCGAAGCATTCACCTCACCTGCCTTGTGTGGGTGCAGTCGGCTCGGCAACAAACGCCCTACCTGCAGCGTGTGTGTGCAGTCAGGAGTGACGAGGCGGAAGCAGAAGCGCAGGTCGGGCTCATCGGCGTCCATCTTGATCGTGGCAGTGAGCAGGTTCAGCGACTCGTACTGCAGCGCGTGGTTCCGCTCCTCCTCCTCCCCCATCCCCATCCCCCCCATCCCCGCCCCCATTCCCATGCCCATTGCCTCTGTGCCATGGTCGTCTCCGCCCTCCTCCCCGTGCCCCCCGCCGCTGCCCCTGCCGCCCAGGCCGAGTGGGCGGTAGTGCTGGGCCATGGGGTTGGCGGGCGGGGGGGCGGCAGGGGTGGCGTCGGTGGTGCGAGCGCGGACGAGGGAGAAGAGAGAGGAGAGCGTGTCAGAGCGTGCGTTCTGAGGGAGGGGGGAGAGGACGGGGAGAGGAGGGGGAGTGGGAGGGTGCAAGGAAGGAGGAAGAGGGCGAGCAAGGAATACCAGATAAGAACATCTGGGGTGAATGGGGTGAATGGGGTGTAAGGGACCACGGGAGCACAGGACAAGGTAGGCACTTGAGACCCCTTGTGGTTGGCTCTTCAAATATAGATGCTCATTCCAGAAGCTAAGAAAGACCATTGAAAGGAGCCTCTAAAGTCGCACACACCTGAGCGTCCTTGTGATAGTAAAGGGAGCCCCTTGAATCGAGGACAAAGAAGTGCCGCGAGCGGGCGGCAGCAGTGCGCCTCACCAGGTACCCCTGCTTGATCACCTGCACCTGTGGTGTGGTGTGGTGTGGTGTGGTGTGGCGTGGCATGGTGTGGTGAGGTGTGGCGCGGTGTGGTGTGGTGAGGTGTGGCGCGGTGTGGTGTGGTGTGGTGTGGTGTGGTGAGGTGTGGCGCGGTGTGGTGTGGTGTGGTGTGGTGTGGTGTGGTGTGGTGTGGTGTGGTGTGGTGTGGTGTGGTGTGGTGTGGTGTGGTGTGTGTACAAACAGAGGACAAAGGGGAGTGTGGTGAGATGGCGTGCTCTACGTGAAATTGGATGGCCCTGGCGTGCTTTTCGTTGAAAGGGAAGCAGACAGGATTGATAGAGGGGAGAGGGGGGTTGGCAAACAGAAGCAGCGACGGCATGGCAGCGTGACAGCGTGATGCAGCACTGGTGGTAATGCAGCAACAGTTGTGCTCATCACACCACTCACCTTCTTCTGAACGCCAGCACCAGCAAGCACCATCTGCTCCACACTAGTGGACGCCACGCCTCCGGAAGGGTGGCTCATCGTTTTTTTGCCCCCCCCGCCCCTGCCCAAGCTCCTCGAGTTGACATATGAGTCGACTCAAAGCTCACCTTTCTCTGTCCGCCAGCACCAGCACGCATCATCTGCTCCACACTGGTCGACGTCACGCCTCCTGAAGGCCGGTACGGCCCCCGCCCCTGCCCAAACCCCTCCCCCCCTGCTCCCCCCTCCGCGCCCCCCAAACTTCCCCCCGACATGCGCCCTCCGCCCCCGCGCCCCTGTGCGTGCGCCAGCGCCTGTGCCTGCGCGTGCGTGTGGGCCGCCTCCAGCTGTGCGCTCTCCTCCTCCTGTGTGCGCCGGAACTGGTAGATTCGCTCTGCTAGCTCCGTCTGAAAGAGTGAGCGGATTGAGGGGAGGGGTGAATTAAAGAGCAGATTGACTTGGGATTCCACATGCGGCCTTCTGCGTGTGCCGGAACTGGTAGATCCGCTCCTCTAGCTCTATCTGTGCAGATTCCAGCGGATGGTGGTGGGATGGAAGGAAAGAGGTGCAATGGGGAATGCTGAAGCAAGGAGCTTAGAAGCGTGAGGATGTCCAGAGTGGCATACCCATGGCTCATACGCTAGAGCGAGCTTTTGGGGAATAAAGGCGTTCAGATGGGCGCACGCATGCACGCACACATACATGCAACTACACATGCGTACACACACACACATAAAACCACACCCACACACAAACACGCACCTGCTCCTGATTGGCCTGCTCCTGTGCTTGATGAGAAAACGTGAGGACCTGTGAGAACGGACCGGGTGGGATGGACACAGAAGGGGTAATGCTGGTTGGCAGTCAAGGAGAGAATGCTGAGAGTACAGGAGTACCTGAGGAGACGTGTGAGCACGGAAGGGCATGCGGGGAAGACATGCTAGGATGATGTGGGACTGTGAGTACCTGAGTCGAAAAGATAGGGAATTTGAGCATCTGTGGCAGGCAGGTGAGACGTGGCATCCTAGGTAGGGATGACGAGAACGACGACAAGTGTGCGTGAGTTGCAATACCATGGCTGGGTGAAGCGTCGGGACGAGATGATAAGCAACACCAACACAGCTCTCGTCCCAAGTTGGGACTCCCAACGCTTTGAGCATCGCCTGATAGATGGACGGCTGCACTGCAAACTGATTCGTTTTTAAGACGACTCACAACAACCTTATTATCACGTCTTCGCACCCCCGAGCATCACCTGATGGATGTATGGCTCCACTGCTTGCAGCAGCTCGTAGCCCTGTTGTGTGGCGAGGGGAAGGAACAGGGGGGAAGGGGGTTTACAGGGAAGCTTGATGCGACTCAGACAAGGGAGACACTGCAAGTGAGCGCGTGAGACGTGAGCAGACGTGCGTGAGTATGAGATGTGTGTGCAGATGAGCAGATGTGCAGATGTGCAGATGTGCAGATGTGCAGATGTGCAGATGTGCAGATGTGCAGATGTGCAGATGTGCAGATTTGCATGAGTATGTATGAGGGTGCATACCTGTTTGAAGTAGCGCAGGTGGGCGTGCACAGCAGAGCCAATGGACTCGAGGAACACGTGCTTCTTCTTCGCCTCTGCACTGCTCAGCGCTGTCATCTGCTCCCAGCACCAGGCAGGCAGCAAAGGGGCGGGCAGGCAGGCATTTTCATACATGTGCACAGATACACACACACACACACACACACACACACTCACACACACACACACTCTCACACACACACACACACTCACACACACACACTCACACACACACAGAGCACAAGGAGGATCGCGCATGGTAGGGACGGAATCAACAGAGTTGCAGGGGAAGCACTAATATGTGTGAAGCTTAAGAGAAGAAGGTGCTCTCGAGGTGGTGTTTGTAGGAGGAGATGTTCCCATCACATTCATGCCCTTGATAAAGATTGTGATGTGCCTGCCTGCTCAAACGGCAACTGCATGCGCATTGAGTGGAGCTGAGCTGACTCAAGGGTGGATTTCACAAGGTGTTTCTTGAGATGAATCGTAAGAGCAGTGTGTTCTAGAGCGTGCTTTGAGCCAAGTCAAAACAGAACGGGGTGGTGAGTGCAAGGGAGAGAGCTCACAAGGTTGAAGCGCGCCTGCTCAAACTGCATGCGAGCCGTTTGCAGATCCTGGTGGGCACACACACGGGGGTGAATGGCGCAAGGGTGTTGGCACGGGCAGAGGGGGTGTGGGGGGGAGAGGGGTGGGGGCGGTTGGGGGGGGAGGTGGAGTATAATAATCTCAAACCTGTGCGAGCCGTTTGCATATCCTGGTGGGCACGGGGGTGACAGACAGACGGGGCAGCGGAGTTGTTGTGAGGGGCATGGGAGGGGCATGGGAAGGGCATGTGTGGGGAAAGGCAGGGGCATGGGTGGAGCATGTAAACAAGTGAACCAGCAGCATATGGATCTGGTTCAGGCATGATTGCACTGCAGCACGTGGGCCGCATATGTATTCAGTGTGCGCTGCGGCATGCACACGCCTCACAGCACGTGGGCCATTTTGTTTGAGGTTGATTTTGAGAATTCTCAATTTGTTTGAGGTTGATTTTGAGAATTCTCAATTTGTTTGAGGTTGATTTTGAGAATTCTCAATTTGTTTGAGGTTGATTTTGAGAATTCTCAAAATCAACCTCATGCACACGCCTCACAGCACGTGGGCCGCATGCCGTGAGGGGGACAGAGAGAGGACGAGGGGGAAAGACGGAGAGGTAGAGAGAAGAACGCTTGGCAAAACCCCCCTCAAACTTTCCTCCCCTCATCGCCCTCTTCCCATCCACCTCCGCTCATCTCCATTCCCGTCCCTTCCTCCCTTGCACTCATTGCCCACTTATCACTGCTTTCTCAAAGTTCCCTTCCAGCGATTCCTCCACACACTTCCCTGTCAAGCCCGCGCCCCTCTCACCTCGTCAGCCTCTGCGGCGACTTCAGCCTTGATGCCCTTCTTGAGCGACAGGAAGCGCTCGCGCATCTGGTGAGAGTGCACAAGTGGGATGGGGGGAACGGCTAGAGTGGGTAAACGGGACACTATAAGTACCCAAGACAGATTTAAGGTACGTGGGTCAAAGGTGCAGCGACAGGGCGGTTGGGCGCAAGAGCAGTGGGGCCAGTTGGGGCAGTGGGGGCAGTGCGGGGCAATCCTCGCCCTCACCTGGTCATACTGCCGCCCAGCCTTGTCGTAGCGCCGCCGCACCTCCTGATGGCACGCATGGGGCCATGGGTGTGGATATATGGTGTGGATGGGTGGTATGGGTGGATGGTATGGGTGTATGGTATGGGTGGATGGTATGGGTGTATGGTATGGGTGTATGGTATGGGTGGATGGTATGGGTGGATGGTATGGGTGTATGGTATGGGTGGATGGTATGGGTGTATGGTATGGGTGTATGGTATGGGTGTATGGTATGGGTGGATGGTATGGGTGGATGGTATGGGTGTATGGTATGGGTGGATGGTATGGGTGTATGGTATGGGTGTATGGTATGGGTGGATGGTATGGGTGGATGGTATGGGTGTATGGTATGGGTGGATGGTATGGTATGGTTGCACGTATGGCCTGAAAGGACGGCATGCGTGAATGGCACGATATTGTTAATGATGCATGCTGTGAACAATTTGGGTGGGATGCACGCAGCAGCAGGAGCACTGCGACCTTAAACGCACATGGACCGGCTGAGGAAGGAAGTTCTTCCAACCCAGCCTGGGGTGACTTTTGAGTCGACTCAAGAGTCACCGTAGAGGCACATGGATCAGCCAGCTAAGGAAGGAAGCTCTTCCAACCCAGCCTGGGAAGCTGGGGAGTGCTGTGACTTGACAAGCTCACAACAACTACAGTGGGACCTGACAACCTCGCAGCCAATGGCAGCACACCTGGGTCAGCTGAAACGCCTCGTGCGTCCACGAGAGTGAGAAGAGCAGCGCACCTTGAGGTTGTTGAGATCGTTCTCCACGAAGTTGGTGATCCTGTCATGCAGCACGTGCTCCATCTGCATGCAGGGGGTGGGGGTTGGGGGGGTGTTGGGGGGGGTACGGGGGATGAGGGGGTGATGGGGGGGATGGGAGGATTGGGGGAAAGGGCACGTCAAGAAACCAAGTTGGTGATCCTGTCATGCAGCACGTGCTCCATCTGCACACAGGAAAAGGGGGGTTGGGGGGGTGTCGGGGGGGGGGTACGGGGGATGAGGGGGGGATGGGGGGGATTGAGGGGAAGGGGGGGAAAGGGCACGTCAGGAAACCAAGTTGGTGATTCCATCATGCAGCACATGCTCCATCTGCACACAGGGGGTGATGGGGGGCGGGGGGTATATGGTTATTTAGGCACCTCGTAATCAAGTTGGTGATTCTATGATGCAAAACACGTGCTCTCCATCTGCACAGAAAGGGGGAAAGAGGGCGGTGGAAGGGGGGTATATGGTTTTTGAGGCACTCACAACCAAGCTGGCAAAGCTATCATCCAGAATGTGCTCCATCTGCACATGCACACGCCACGCTGGGTAAAAGAGGGGCTGGGAAGAATTGAGAAAAAGAGGTGGCGAGTGGTATGTCATGGAAGGGGAAGCAGCATCACGTGGTAAGAGCAAGAGAATGTGAGCCCGAAAACCCACCAAACCCCTGCCTTGGTTGGTAACCCATGTAACTTGAACACGTGAACCTTGTGCATTAAGGTACCTGTAAGTGGCTGGACGGGACTATGCGTGCAATGGATGTGCACTGCACTGCACTGCACTGCACTGCACTGCACTGTGGTGTGGAACGTGTGCGGTGCTTGCCTGTGATTTGAGCGTCTCCTTGAATATCGTGAGGTCGCGCAGCGTCATCACGAACTGCCCCAGCACCGGGCCTGAACGGGATACCAAGGGTTTGGGACAGAGGAGCATGGGAGATTCTAAGGCATCATCACAAACTGCCCCAGCACCGGGCCTGAATGGGAAACGAAGGGTTCGGGGCAGAGGTGCATGGGAGATAGCAGGGGGCGGGAGAAGGGGGAGGGGATGGGGGGGAGGAGAAAGGGAGGAGTGGGGAGGGGAGAAGCATGGGAGTGGATAAGGTGATAGTGAGGTCCGTGTAGTGACATCTTAGACAGACCTGGCACAGCATACGGCCTCGCAAGAAACGGGCGTTCAGATGCTTGCGTCAGCCTACCACACAACCCTCGCCAGCAGATTACACTGCCACAGCCCCTGGGTGCCTCTGGTGAGCTCACCGCCAGTGGCGATGCTGACGGCGTCCTCGGGCGCACCAAAGAAGCGCTCCATGGCGTGCACGAATGAGCTCTCCGCCTCGAACGACTCGCCCAGGGATGCGCTGCCGGGGAGGGTGGCGGCGAGAAAGAGGATTGAGGGGGGTGTGCGGAGCAGCGAGGGGTGCACGCGGAGCGACGGCTCTAGGAGGGATACATGACGGAGCGCATTGCGAGGGCGAGGCGACTCACGCGAAGTCGTTGCAACTGCGCGCGAGCTGGCAGCAGCGGTCCCTCAGCAGCTCGAGGCTCTCCTCCAACGACGCCAGCTGCGGGGAGCGCCGCGCACGGATACGGAAATATGTATGCGGGGAAAATGAATGCGCGGAGAATTACGCGGGGAGGGTTATGCAAGCGCGTACGATGTTAAGGGATGAGGGAGCGAAGGGATCAGATGTGCAGGGTCCGAGGGACTCGACCGATGGGCGAAAGCATGCGAAATGGTTACGAGGAGACTATAGTGGACCGGAAGTTAGCACCCTACAGCGCTCGAGACAATGAGCCTTGGCGACGGAAAGAGAGAACGATCGCTTTCGCGCTTCAGAGTTCAACGATGGCAATGCGACAAGTTTTCGCCCAGCTCTCGCCCTAGATCCCATCTGATACTACCAAGCCAAGCCACGCGGTATCTTCCGACTTAAAGGACGATCGATATGAATGGAACGAACGGGAAACGGACCATGCGTCTTTCGTTTTTTACGACGGATGGAGGTAATTAAGCGAATCTAACACGACCTCCTTCGATCTAGCACTGGCGACGCCATTCTGATGGCGGAAACGAACAGAGAGAAGCGGTGTACCTGCTTGCGCAGCATTGGCGTGTCGTCTAACCGCGCGAACAACATCTTGGTACTCTGGTGTCGATGGTAATGGGTGTCTCGAGGTTACGATTGCGAGAAAACCTGCACGAAGAGATGACGATGCTTCTACACGGCGATACTGAGAAAGCGATACGGTACTGCCTTTTCACAAGGTCACGGTATCTCTTTGATGCTCGCAATGTTAGGCGGAACGCCGACTGCTGGAGTTTAGGCCAGTATGATAATCTCGAGGTTGCCGCTTCTGTCTAGGGCGCCAACTGCTTTTTTGGAGACCCGGTAGTTTCGATTTGGGGGTTGACATGACACACCTAGCATTGGGATGATCGCGTGGGATAAGGAGACTGGAGTTTCGTGTGTTGAGTTTCCGTGAGGAGAAAAATGACAGAATCTGTTGAATTTCAAGAGGTGGGAGTGCAATGAGAACTGTTGTGCCAAACAGCAGCAACTAAACAGTTTACTAAGTGTGCACTGACTTGCCAATAATATACGATTTTTGTCTCTCTGACCCGGCCTAGCCCGTCAATGTACGTTTTGTACCTTTCTGGACTAGACCACGAAAAATCAGGGTAATAATCGCAGAAGATCGAGGCATTAAGTTCCCTCTTTTCCATCCAACTCACCAGATTGCTGCGATGGCTGTCTGTCGGATCGCTCTGTTCTGTCAGAACAGAAAATCCTCGTTATAATTGTCCTTCTCCATGATCATGAGGGTAAGACAGTGACATATCCAGTATCAACAACGAAAATTTAAGACGATTACTTCTGATTCATAACCAAGAGCACCTACTCCAGCTCCACACCAGGAAAGTTGCTCCGCACGAGTACAAGCAAGCCGGGACCTGCTCTAATCAGCCTCAAACGAGGTAACTTGAGCAGTGTCACCCCCTCCTCTGTAACCACTGAATTCGGTAAATCCAACTCTTCCAAAGCAGGAAGACTCTGGATGTGCTCCAGGCCAGCATCACTGATCATGCTCGGAAGAATGAGCACTTTGAGTCGGCTCAAAGGTGCCACAAACTCCAGGCGTCACGAGTGGTCCACTGCGAGCGAACCGTACTGTCAGCAGTGGCAGCAGGTGCAGGAGAGACACCGGACGTGTGATCGAAAAGGGATACGCCGTCCTTAGTGTCACACTGAAGAAAGAGCTGCAGGTCGTCAACCCACACGTCAAAGTCAACCGCACGCCCCTCAGCATCTAAGGTAAGAACATTAGGGCTAGCCATAGCGGCAGTAGCAGCAGTAGCAGCAGGAGCAGCAGGAGCAGCGCGGGCAGGGCAGTGCGGCTCAGTAGGGCGGCGCGGCTCGGCAGGGCGGCGCGGCTCGGTAAGGCGGCGCGGCTCGGCTGGGCGGCGCGGCTCGGCTGGGCGGCACGGCTCGGCCGGGCGGCGTGGGTGCTTACCATGAGCGGGTGCATTGCAGGGCCGCATCTGGCGGTTAGGTCAGGGCCGCGACTGGGGCGGCAGCAGGGCAGGGCCGCGACTTGGCGGCGGTAGAGCAGGGCCGCGACTAGGGCGGCTGAAGGGCAGGGCTGCGACGAGTCGGCGGCAGAGCAGGGCCGCGACAGGGCGGCAGCAGGGCAGGGCCGCGGCTGGGCGGCGGTAGAGCAGGGCCGCGACGAGCAGCGGCAGGGCAGAGGCCGCGGCGGGCGGCAAGGTCGGGGCCGCGACGAGGGGCGGCAGGGTAGGGCCGCGACTGGCGGCTAGGGTAGGCCGCGACGGGCGGCAAGGCAGAGCCGCGGGTGGCGGCAGGGCAGGGCCGCGACTAGGCTGCTAGGTCGGGGCCGCAACGAGGCGTTAGGGCAGGGGTGGAACGGGCCGAGAAGGCAGGGCCGCGACGGGCGGCACTAGGGCAGGGCGCGCGACGGGGCAGGTGAGGCAGGCGCGAGGCGCGCTTTGGGCAGGGCAGGAAAAAAAAAATCATGGTGGGCCCTAAAAAAACGTTCCCACGAGGGAACCTGCTCAGAATACCATGTCAGAATAGTGAAGGAACGAATGACTGAACTAGCAAACAGGTGGGTACAAGTAGTAAACCTAAAAGTGTTGTACCGTATATGAACTACCCCACTACAACCTACACAGACTATAGCATATATGTTTGACACACTTGTACCGAGAAACCTTCCTGGAGTGGAAGTGAGTAGTGATGCTATGTAAACATGTTGTAGTTCTTTGGATGTACATGAATTTCTAATTTCAAGCTGCTAACCTTTCTGAGCTAGGGTGGTTCTGGCGAAACAAAATAATAGTGTGGATTCTCTATTGTGAGAGCGATATGACAGACAGCCACCGCAGGCCCGAACTCTTCACGACGCAAACCTCCTCATTACACGCGATCATCTGAAAGGCAGGGCAATGCGTGGCCAAATCGTAACTCCCTATTCTAAAAAAAAGCAACCTTAGGGCGTGTAAAATAATAATGACCAAAGGGAATGGTCGACCATGCGGGCGGTTCTGGCGATTGCGAGGTATTTTGGGTTACACCCACAGAGTAGTCACCCCGGTTTGACCGAATTGCAATGGTATTTTCCGATTAATTTTTTGACACACTGCATTTTTGGACCTACGTAGACTTGTATCCTCAGCGAGGGGTAAATCTTTTTGTTCGCCTAAACTCAATGCTTTGTTAAACACCCTAGTCTAGGCTTGCGATCCCCCTGTATTCCACACCCCGTTCGAATGCAGTAAGAGGACTAAAACTTTTCGCTTTCAATTATGGGGGTAGTTTGTGGCAGATGCCCCACGTGCTGGCAGAATTCGTGGCGGGGATCGCTCGCTTACGGGTTACACCTATTCGCAGTCGCCGGAAACACGCAAAGGGCGGAAAATCGGCTTGGTCGTTACAATTTTACATGCCCTAATTGCCAGGAGCAACCTTGGGATTGACCAAACAGCAGCTGTCAGTGTTCAACCTAGGTGTACGATCCTCGAGGAGGATACTAAGACATTGTGAAAAGGCAGCTCTTTGTCGCTCTCCCTGTATCGTCGTGTAGAAGCATCGTCAGCTGTCGTCACTCTCATTGTGCTGGTTTTCTCGCAATCGCCAGCGTCGGAACACACATTACCATGGACACCTGAGAAGCAGGATGTTGTTCGCGCGACTAGACAACACGCCAGTGTTGCGCAAGCAGGTACACCGCTTCACTCTGCTCGCTTCCGCCATCAGAATGTCGTCGCTGCGCCATATCGAATAACTAGTACGTCGTTCATCATAAAGACCTTTTACCTCCCATCCGTCGCAACAAACGCGAGTCGCATGATCGTCCCATTCGTTCTATGTATATTGATCGCAAACGCTCCTTTTAGGTCGGAAAAACCTCGTGCCTTTAGTATCGGAGCGGATCTAGAGCGAGAGCTCGACGAAATGTCGTCGCGTTGTCATCGCTGGACTTTGAAACGCGAAAGCGATCGTTCTCTCTTTCTGTCGCCAAGGCTCATCGTTTTGAGCGCTGAATGGTGCTCGTTCTTGTAATTCAGTATCCCCGCCTCGGAACCATGTTGCATGTTTTCGCACATCTATTGAATCACTCACACCCCCACATCTGTGATGCATACCCTCGCTCCCTGCATCCGTTCAGTCTCTTAACGTCTTACGCCCTTGCGTAACCATCCCCGCATCCTAATCCCCACATCGCCCTCCCCGCATTTCTCTCCCTGCATCCCCTTCCCCGCAACCCCCTCCCCTCGTGCCTGCGCGGCGCTCCCGCAGCTGACGTCGTCGGAGGAGAGTCTGGAGGTTTTGAGGGATTGCTGCTGGCAGCTTTGAGATGCCTCAACCCTCTGCATCACCCGCCCTTTATCGCCCTCCCTTCATCCCTCTCCGCGTCCCCGCAGCTGGCGTCGTTGGAGGAGAGTCTTGAGCTGCTGAGGGACCGCTGCTGCCACCTCGCGCGCTGCGGCGTTGCAACGACTTCGCGTGAGTCGTCTCGCCCTGCCGCTCACTCGCTCCTGCCCTCGGCCTGCCCTGCCCTGCCCATTGCGCTGCTTCATGTATCCTCCCTTCAAAGCGTCACTCCCCATGCACCCCCTGCTGCTCTTCACACTCCCTACAATCCAACCTCTCGCCCCCACCCCCACTACAGGGCATCTCTGGGCGAGTCATTCGAGGCGTAGAGTGCATTCGTGCACGCCATGGAGCGCTTCTTTGGAGCGCCTGAAGACGCCGTCAGCATCGCCACTGGCGGTGAGCGCTAGAGGGCGGTGGTGAGCGCTAGAGGGCGGTGGTGAGCGCTAGAGGGCGGTGGTGAGCGCTAGAGGGCAGTGGGTAGCGCTAGAGGGCGGTGGTGAGCGCTAGAGGGCAGTGGGTAGCGCTAGAGGGCGGTGGTGAGCGCTAGAGGGCGGTGGTGAGCGCTAGAGGGCGGTGGTGAGCGCTAGAGGGCGGTGGTGAGCGCTAGAGGGCGGTGGGTAGCGCTAGAGGGCGGTGGTGAGCGCTAGAGGGCGGTGGTGAGCGCTAGAGGGCGGTGGTGAGCGCTAGAGGGCGGTGGTGAGCGCTAGAGGGCGGTGGTGAGCGCTAGAGGGCGGTGGGTAGCGCTAGAGGGCGGTGGTGAGCGCTAGAGGGCGGTGGTGAGCGCTAGAGGGCGGTGGTGAGCGCTAGAGGGCGGTGGTGAGCGCTAGAGGGCGGTGGTGAGCGCTAGAGGGCGGTGGGTAGCGCTAGAGGGCGGTGGTGAGCGCTAGAGGGCGGTGGTGAGCGCTAGAGGGCGGTGGTGAGCGCTAGAGGGCGGTGGTGAGCGCTAGATGGCGGTGGTGAGCGCTAGAGGGCGGTGGTGAGCGCTAGAGGGCGGTGGTGAGCGCTAGAGGGCGGTGGTGAGCGCTAGAGGGCGGTGGTGAGCGCTAGAGGGCGGTGGTGAGCGCTAGAGGGCGGTGGTGAGCGCTAGAGGGCGGTGGTGAGCGCTAGAGGGCGGTGGTGAGCGCTAGAGGGCGGTGGTGAGCGCTAGAGGGCGGTGGTGAGCGCTAGAGGGCGGTGGTGAGCGCTAGAGGGCGGTGGTGAGCCCTGATTGGTTGTTGATTTTAGCCCGTCCTTCCCAATTCTTGCAATGCATCTCCACCTGCACGTGCACCTTAGCCCTCCTTAGTGCATGCCCTGGAGCGGTTCTTTGGTGCGCCCAAGGACGCCGCCAGCATCGCCACTGGTGGAGAGCGCCGCATCAGCTGGAGTGAGTGCGCCCAGGGGATGAGCTGAGTTGAGTCAGTCTGTTTCTGAGCTGCCTCAAAAGCCACACGCGCCGTGCACCCAGGGGTTGTGCCGGTGGTGGTGTGGCGGCGAGGGTTGAATGGTCAGGCAGGCATGCAGGCAGGCAGGCACGCCGATGCGAGCCACAACTCCATTTGTTCCCGCCTCGCCTCCCTCGCCGTCCCCTTCCGCATCCAAGCACTGGAATGCCTGTGTCCTGCGAGTCCCTTTTCCCGGTCACCCAGAGATGGCGTGGCACAGCACCAAGTCTACCATCATCACTTTCGCCCTTCTTATGCTCCTCCCGTTCCCCTTCCCCACCTCCCCCTCCCCTTCCCCCTCCTTCTCAACCCCTCAATCCGCCCCCTGCTATCTCCAGTGCGCCTCTGCCCCAACCCCTTGGTATCCCGTTCAGGCCCGGTGCTGGGGCAGTTCGTGATGACGCTGCGCGACCTCACCATATTCAAGGAGACACTTAAATCATAGGCAAGTACCACACCACAGGTGTCCCACATCCACATCCAGGGCACGCATAGTCCCGTTTAGGCCCTGTGCTTTGGCAATTTGTGATGGCGCGGCAAGGCCTCACCACCATATTCAAGGAGACACTTAAATCCGAAGTGAGTACCATACGCACTTGTGTTGCTTGGATTCTCAAAAAACGACCTCACCTGTTCAGAGAGTTGCTTAAATCACAGGTAAACACTGCGCGCCCCACACCACAGAGTAGTGCGTGCAGTGCACATCCATTGCATGTGTAGGGTTTTGAGTAGGGTTTTTTCCACATGAATGAGTGGTTTTTTTACACCTAATTCTATGTCTAAGTTGGAATATACGCTACTTTCATTTTGCGTTTTGCGTTTATACTGTTATCGAATTCGTACGCTGCGTATAGTTTGAAAATTCGCCGAGTTGAATTTTGGGCAGACCGAAAAAACAATCAAACTTTCAATCTGAAGCACGCGACGTGGCGATCTCAATTCCGAGTCGCAGGTGTCGCGAAATGAAATCGAATTTTGAATTTCGAGCTCCAAACCTCATCAACCCCACCCCTCCACCGTTTCACACCCCTTCTAACCACAGCATTCCACCATCCCCTCCAACTGCTACTTTACTGGTTGGGAGCTCAACCCAACCCAATCTCCCAGGCATAAAGAGAGGCATTTGTTCACTCGATATTCATTCTCTCGCTTCCTAGTCTAGCTACCTCCCCTCCCAAGCCACCATGGCTTCTACTCCTACAGCAACAAGTTCTCGTTCTCCACCCTCAGAGGCTCCTGGTAGTTCCGCTGGAGGGACCTCTAGTGTTACGGCTTTGATCTGCATGGACAGCAAGCACGCAGTCTACCGCCACTTCAAGGTGCCGGCCGATAACGTTGGCGAGAAGGGCACCAAGGTGTGTGCCTACTGCAACTTCAAGTTCGTTGGCGGGATGTACCGCTGCGCGCAGCATATAACCAGCTGGAACGGCATGCGGCGTCGTGAAGTGCATCTCTGCACTGAAGCGCCGAAGACTGCACGGGACGGCGTCAAGGCGGTTTACGAGAACAAATTGAAGGCCCGTGAAGCGAAGCGTGCGGCTGAAATTGCGGCGGTCGGCGCGGTCAATGGCGGTGGTTCCGACAAGAAGAAGACACGAATGACCGACTTCTACGGCGACGACGCCGCGTGCGCGAAGCAAGCTGCGGACAAGGCGCTTTGCCTCCTCTTCGCCGCTCTTCATATCCCGGAGCATCACGCGGACCACCCGCTCTGGTGGAATGCAGTCTCCAGCATCGCTCGCGCGGGGACGGGTTACGTGCCGCCGAAGAGACGCTACATCAGTGGCGCCGGTCTTGCAAGGTGTCGCCAGCGCATTGAGGCGGCACTCGGTCCGATCGCTGCAAGCTGGCGCCGTGACGGCGTCACCATTGCAAGCGACATGTTCCTGATGGAGGACATCGGGAAAATGGGATGGGCGAAAGACATCGTCACGCGCGGGGACACCCTCATCTCGTTCGTCCGCAACCATCACTTTACCCGTGGATACATGCGGAGCGAGCTCGTGAACGGCGGCAAGGGGAAGCAGGTTCTCAAGCCCGCAGGAACCCGATTCGGCACCAACTACATCGCCATTAACCGCCTCTGTGAAGTGCGCGCCGGCCTGACGCAGATGGTCCTCAGCGATGAGTGGCGCGACTGGACAACGGCTTCAAAGAGGGTAGGGGCAGATACCTTCAAAGACAACATCCTCGATGCCCCGTGGTGGACGTGCGCAGAGTTCTTCGCGAAGCTGATGAAGCTCCCGTTCGTCGTCATGCGCAAGACAGACTCGGATGCGAAGGGCATGATGGATCGTCTCTACGACCTCATGCTCCAGCTCACCGAGGACATCCGCGACTTCCTCGACGAGCATGCGGAAGGGGTCCTGTCAAGGGGGGAGGTGGGGGACATTCGGAAGATCGTGCAGGACCGCTGGGACAATGGGCTGGCGTGCAACATGCACGTGGTTGGCCGCATCCTCAACCCGGCCAACCAGGAAGAGGGCATCTTCCGCACTGACCTGGAGTGCACGAGGGTCTTCAAGCAGTACGTGTCGCGGCACTTCGACGACCAAACAGTCACCAGGAAGGACGGGGTCGAGCGCCGTGCCTCCCTCGTCATCCAGGAAGGCCTCACTGCCTTCCTCAACCTCCAAGGCAGCTTCGGCATGCCTGACGCTCTTGCCGACCGTGCGGCAGTGAAGGAGGGCAAGATGACCGCGGTGGCCTGGTGGACGTGGCACGGGACCGATCATCCTGAGCTCACCACGCTTGCTTGCCGCATGCTCACGCAGCCGGTGTCCGCGTCACCATGTGAGCGGAACATGGCGAAGTTTGATGCCGTGCATACGGCACGCCGGAACCGTCTCGGCGCGGAGAAGCTTCGGGACCTCGTGTACGTGACGCACAATTGGCAGGTTGTGCACAACTGGCACAAGGTCCCTGAAGGGCAGGGGGTGGTGAGGGGAAACATCGAGGACCCCCCCACTCCGGCTGGCTACAACGTGGAGGAGGAGGTGGAGGAACCTGAGGAGGGGGAGGACGAAGTGATGGCCGATGAGTACTAGTGGAGGGGGGGTAGTAGCATGATCAAGGTGGAGGAAGTTGTCGTGGCAGATTAGATTTCACGGTTTTTATTCCTGTAACTGTCATATTAATAAAAAGGGGATGGGGGTTACAACACCCCCCCATCCCCGCCTCTTACCCCAAAAATCTGCCCGGGGAAAACTTTTTTCCTGCCCGGGCAAGCGGATTCTGGTGCGTACCAGAGCCCTCATGGCCGGCGTTTTGTGCTTATACTCTAGCGTTTATACGAAAGCGTACAAAACGCAAAACGCGTTTTTTCCAAGTTAGTTCTATGTTATGCTAGTCAACACACCCCTTCTTTTTCCTTGGGTAGATTCCTCTGTAAAGTTTCCGTCAGCTCAAGTTCAGATACAAAAGGCATGTATTAAATTTACGAGGGTTTCACAACCAAGGAGTGGGTTTGACGCGGTTTAGGGTTCACACTCTTCACTCACAAGCGCTTGCCCTTACCACATGATGCGGTTTTCCCTTCCCTCAGATACTGCTCTCCCCAACCCCTCTATCTCAATACTTTCCTGCCCCTCTTTTCTCCGGCATGGCGGGTTACATGTGCAGGTGGAACATGTGGTGCCAGCCCTTGACTCACGTTGAGTCAACCGGAATCGCTGCTGCCTTAGGCCTGCTGTGGCTGGCTGTCTCAAGATCTGGAGTTCTCATCTTCCTAGGTCACCACATCCATGGCATGGAAGGTGCTTCGTTGGAGTATATGCGTCTCGAGCGGAAGGCATCTGAATGTACATCATACAACAAGTGAATCCGTGCCATGCACCCGTGCCATTTATCCACACCCATCACCCTGTGCCATGCACCCATCCATGCCATCCACCCATGCCATCCATATACCCATGTCATATGCCCAACCATGCCATGTATGCACACACGCCACACATACATTCACCCACGCCATCCTCCCACACCATCTATCCAAACCCATGGCCCCATGCCTGTCCTCAGGAGGTGCGGCGGCGCTACGACAGGGATGGGCGGCAATATGACCAGGTGAGGACGAGGACTGCCCCCCACTTCCCCCACTGCACTTGCCCCCAGCCACCCTATCGCTGCTCCATGCGCCCATGCCCATGCACCCACGCATCCATGCATCCACGCACCCATGCTCCCAGCCCCGCATGCTATTCTTCAATCCTCCCAGCCTTACCTAGCCTGGCTCTCCCCCTCTACCCCCGCCTCCCTTCCTTCCCTCCTACTCCAACTCCCTCGCCCCCCTCTTCTCCAAGAGTGATGCTTGCTGTCAACTTGAGCTTTGTTCATGAGGTTGAAACAAAGAGGAGCACCAAGCGCAAGCTATGTCTCTAGAACTCAGGCCCCCACCCTTTCACACACTTTCTGCCTGCCCCTCTGCCCCCACTTCTCTATGCTTCTCACAGATGCGGGGTCGTTTTGTGTCTCTCAAGAAGGGCAATGAAGCCCAAGTGGTCTTGGCCCCGTCGCCCTCTTGCAACCATCCCCTCTCACGCCCTCTACACCTCCTCTCTGCGCCCCACTTCCCCACTCTCACCAGATGCGCGAGCGCTTCCTGTCGCTCAAGAAGGGCATCAAGGCGGAAGTGGCGGCAGAGGCCGACGAGGTGAGAGAAGAGTGTGGTTTGGCAGGCAGAGGGACGCTCCCTGACTGGTTTGACATGGAAGCGTGTGGAGGATTCGCTTGGAGGGGACTTTAAGAAAGCAGAGATAGTGTATGGAAGGGCAGAAGACACGGGAGTGGTGGAGAGGAGCAAAGGTGGATGGGAAAAGGAAATTGTGAGGGTTACTCAATCCTTTGATCGAACCCATGCACTTCCCCTCTCTCTTCCTCTCTCAGTCCCGCGCTGGGCATGGTTCCCACTTGGCACTTGTTGCAGTGCTATCATGCATGCTGTCATGTTCTGCAGTTTCGAATGTTTACATGCCCCTCCTTCGCTCATGTTAACATTCCCCTCATGTTTACATGAGGGCATGTAAACATTCATGCTCAACCCCTTTGTCATCAGGACCTGCAAACGACTCTTATGCAAGTTGAGTTGATCGTACCCCGCCTCCCCTTCCCCCTCCACCCACCATCTCCCCCGCACCCCACCCCTCGTGCCCGTGCCAACAACCTTGTCCATGTCAATCCGTTTGCCATCAGGATCTGCAATGGCTCGCATGCATTTCGAAACAACAGAATGTCAAAACTCAAATGACACACTGTTTCATGTTCTACATTGATACTTTGTGTATCAGAATATTACAGTGTTAAACGGGTATCCACATATTTATACGACTATACATATATAGTTATACTCTCTCTGTAACTCAAAGACAATTTTGTAGCCTCTTGTTTTGTTTTGTATTTTTCTCTCTCTCAAGGTAGAACGTATCGTATACAACCATGATCTTAACTGAGTCAGCGGAAGGCATGATCCACTATTGAGTACAGCGGATAACCCTCCCAGATTGAGCAGATTAGCCTAAGCTCTCGAAGATATTGCGCGGGCGGTTCGCTTGCGTGGGTCGACTGCCAGCTGATACTGGCAGTCGAATGAACCTCCTAGGTGTGTCAGCGGGTGACGCGGCTCGTTCAGGTTGGGAGTCTCGAGTGATTGGTTACCACTCGCCAAACAGATCCGTGTGCCATTCTAGAGCAACCGTATCGGTTTGAACCCACGAGTGGGGAGCGCAACCTTGCCGATTTGCGATGTCACATCCCTAGGCGCAACCTTGCGGATTCGGAGCCACACGATTTGCAGACGGTCATAACACCCTCCTGCAGATCAAACCACTAGTAATTTCACCTGCAGAGCTTCACAACAGACTAGCCAGTCGGCATGGTGCTCGCCAGGCCCTCAGATTCGTTTTGGGGCACGCTGATCGCTCAGTGTCCCTTGAAGGCCAACGCTGATTTTCAGTGTCGTCATGTTGAAAACACTGATTTTTCAGTGTTCAAAAAATAAAAAGGCTGAACAGTCAGTGTTGTTATTCACTGTTTCATTGATTGTTATCCCTGTACTCGTCAAGGGACTTTGCTTAGCGAGGAATTTGGTCAATCATTATCGGTCATGGGCTCAATCATGGCAAAAACGCACTGTAGGTACCGTGGTTGGCTGCCTATGTAGCAAGTCACGGCGCCAATCACGGCGAAAAGGCAAGACGGGAATTTCAGATTCAGGGTCGCACTCGATATGAACACTGAAAATACAGAGTTGGAATCCTAAAAACACTGAAAATACAGTGTCGTTAAAAAAAAAAGGCTGATACATCAGGGTCACGATAAAAAACGAGGGTCAAACTTCAGGAATTCAGGTTAGAAATCCTGACTTCTGAGGCCCTGGTGCTCGCGCGTGTTCTCACGGGCTGCGTTCCTCGCGGAGCAGATAGATCCCGCCTCGTTTCCCTCGCCTCTCGCCTCTCACCATCCAGCTCCACCCGCTCCGCTATAAACACCACTCCTTGTAGCAGAGCAGCAGCGCTGCGTCATATGGCGGGGATTCCGCCGCTCCTGCCGTTCTCAGCAGCGGCTTCTGTTGCGTCATCGTCGACGCTAGCAGGGGTCGCCAGGACAGGGTCGCCCAGCGGCGTGGCGTGCGGGCAGCCGCTGGCGGAGGAATTGGACTCGTCGGCTTTTGCTCCCGCTGCACATGTCACTTTTGAACAGGTGAGATCTTCTTGAAAGAGGTAAGAGGTCTATTAACAAATGGGTTTCCGTTCCTTCCATTCCCTTTACTTCCCTTCCCCCTTCCCTTCTCTTGCCTTCCCTTCCCTTCCCTTTCCTTCCCTTCCCTTCCCTTTCCTTCCCTTCCCTTCCCTTCCCTTCCCTTCCCTTCCCTTCCCTTCCCTTCTCTTTCTTCCCTTCCCTTTCCTTCCTTTCCACCTCTTTTGATTCCTCTCTGTTCTCTTGCCCTCCGTTCCCGTCCCCGCCCTTCCCTTCCATTCCTGTCGCTTCGCTTCCCGTCCCTCCCCTCCCGTCCCTCAGGAAATTTGGCAAGCGGGAACCCTCCACCCAAGTAGAGAGGGGTGCTGAGGTGGGGGGCTCGAGTGGATAGGGAAGCAGGAAAAGTAGCACGAGCAGCACGAGTAGCACGAGGACGGCATGAGCAGGGACCCGTAAATCTCACCTTTATTCCTCACTACCCCCTTCCCCCCTTCCACCGCTCTTCTCCAACCCCTTTTCTCCCCACCTTTCCAGCCGTCAGGGCAGCTGGAGGAGACGCAGAGGGTATTGGAGGAGGCTGAGAGGAGCAGGGCAGCAGAGTTGGTACAAGTGAAAGGGGAGCTGCTTTCAGTGCGAGGAGAGCTGGTGAGAGTAAGGGGGGAGTTGCTAACAACAAGGAATGAGCTGGTGACTATTAAAGGGGAGTTGGACTCATTGAAGGGGACTTTGTTAAAAACGAAAATGGATTTGGCTGAACAGAAGGAGTGCTTGCAGAAGGTGGAGAGGGAGAAGTTGGCTTCAGAGGAGGAGGAGAAGGAGCTGGGGAATAAGAGCAGTTCTGATGCTGTAGCAGCTATGGCATCCCTAGCACCAAAGCATGTGGAGTTTGACGTGGAAGAGGAGCTCAGGATGCGCCAAGGGGCTTATAGAACTGTTTGGCAGGTGAGTGCGAGAATGGTGGCATCAGCTGCTAGATTATTTGATACATGGATTAGGCGTTTTAGTATGGTTTCTACTGTTGCTCCTTCAAACCGTTGCCTTGCCTCCCCTTTTCCGTTATTCGCGGAGAATCCATGCGACGACGAGATTGAATCTGAAGTTCCTCCCTTACCTCTCAGAAGCCATTCTCTACCATGTGTCCACGATGACTCACCTGAAGCACATCACTCTCGATGCTTTAACAACATTCAGCCCAGAAGGAATCAAGCACCTCTACATGAAGCAGCTTGAGAGCCTTTAGACGACCAGCGACAACATAACTGACAATTGCTTGGAAGGTATTGGGGCAGCAAGCAGCTTCAAAGATCTCAATCTCAAGGGGACCAGTGTGACTGATGCTGGTCTGGAGTTTCTGGCACCTTTAAGCCGGCTGAAAGTGCTCGTTCTTCCAAGCAAGATCACTGATGCTGGTCTGGAGTTTCTGGCACCTTTAAGCCGGCTGAAAGTGCTCGTTCTTCCAAGCAAGATCACTGGTGCTGGCCTGGAGCACATTCGGCATCTTCCTGCTTTGGAAGAGTTGGATATATCGGATGCTGCAGTTACAGAGGAGGGTGTGGTGTCAGAATCGTGCGTAGCGTGTGTAGTCGTCAACCACCAGCAGGAAGTAGCGCTCCTGGTCCGTTCCACCGATGGGGGCCGGGCCCCACACGTCCATGTAGCGAGTCTGCAGAGGAGCAGTGGTCGGAGGAAACTCGGAGGAGTGAGGAGCGGCGCGCTGCCGCCCCTCGACGCAGGGAAGGCACGGCGGTGCAGGCGAGTGCGGGAGGGAGGGCAGGGACCTGGGAAGGCCAGAGACAAGGAGACGGGAGTGCATGCTGCGCAGACGCGGCAGTGAGGGGTGACCGAGGCAGTGGTGCCAGAGGAGAGTCTGGTGAGTGAGTACCCGACACGAGCAAGACGCTGCAAGCTGACCAGACGCAGACACCCGACTCGACGCAGCCACCTGACCTGACTCAGCCACCTGTGCAGACGCAGTGGTCAGTATGTACAGACTAGACCCAGGCCGTCGAGTGAACGTAGCAAGGTGACGGCCAGTCCGGGAGCACGTACAGATCGCCACACGCTGCCCTCCAGGAATAAAGGTATCAACCCAGACATCCTGAATGGCAGCGTTGCTCACCAAGTTCGTCGAGAACGTGGGGAGGTGGAGACCTGACAGAGAGCCGGAGGGGACTGCTGGATACAGGAGGACAGTGGAGGCTTGCGCGACTACTGGGCCCCTAGTGGGGTCAGCCAGAGAGACTGGTACCGGTGCAGCAAGTGGTCTGAGTGTGGTGCAGTCACGAAAGAAGCAACGTGACGCGCCTGAGTCAACTGTGAAAGTGTGCAAGGCCTCAGCTGAGGCAGGACCTGTGGCGGTAGACGCATGAGCACCTAAAGCTGCAGCAGACTCACTAGCACCTGGCGCGGCAGCAGACTCACTAGCTCCTAGTGCGGCAGCAGACTCACTAGCACCTAGAGCAGCAGCCTCTACAGAACCAGGGACACATCGCTGAGGAAACAACGCACTAAGCAACTGCGGGGAGAAGGTCTCCTGCTGACTCTGCTGCCGCCGCTGTGCAGTACGCAGAAAACCAAAGCCTCCACCACCTGGACGGGCTCGCTGAATAACCCACTCGCGAAGCTGCTGTAGGGATAGCGTGTCCGGGAGAGGCAGTGGCTGCTGCTGTCCACCCCTAGCCGCTGCGACTACCGTGAGAGTGGCCATGACAGGCAGTGGCAGTCAGTAGCAGCGGTACAAGGGCAGTCGTAGCGACTGCTGTAGTGAATGTGGAGGCGAGTAGAGTACGTGGGCAGCACGAGCCGCAGCAGCAGTAGTGGCAGCAGCCGTAGCAGTAGCAGTAGGAGCAGCAGTAGGGCAGCAGCAGCAGCGCTTAGCAGCAGCGGCGCGCTGGGCAGCAGGGGGCGCTGGCGCTTTTAGGGTTGCGGGGCGCGCTGTCGCGCTTAGCAGTGGGGCGCGCTGGCGCGCTGGGCTGCGGGGCGCACTGGCGCGCTGGGCTGCGGGGCGCACTGGCGCGCTTCGCAGTGGGGCGTGCTGGCGCGCTTCGCAGTGGGGCGCGCTGGCGCGCTTGGCAGCGGGGCGCGCTGGCGCGCTGGGCTGCGGAGCGTGCTGGCGCGCTAGGCTGCGGGCCGCGCTGGCGCGCTGGGCTGCGGGGCTCGCTGGCGCGCTGGCGCGCTGGGCTGCGGGGCGCGCTGGGGCAGGAGCTGCTCGCGGGCAGAAGGGGCGCGCAGGACAGGGGCTGCTCGCGGGCAGCAGGGGCGCTCGGGGCAGGGGCTACTCGCGGGCAGCAGGGGCGCTCGGGGCAGGGGCTGCTCGCGGGCAGCAGTGGCGCTCGAGGCAGGGGCTGCTCGCAGGGAGCAGTGGCGCTCGAGGCAGGGGCTGCTCGCGGGCAGCAGTGGCGCTCGAGGCAGGGGCTGCTCGCGGGCAGCAGTGGCGCTCGAGGCAGGGGCTGCTCGCGGGCAGCAGTGGCGCGCGGGGCAGAGGCTGCACGCGGGCAGCAGGGGCGCGAGGAGCAGGGGCTGCTCGCGGGCAGCAGGGGCATGCGTGACAGCAGGGCAGCGCGCTAGGGAAGGCTGTGCCAGTAGCTGCAGGGCAGCGTGACACTGTGCGAGAGGGCCGGACAGCGCAAGGGCGCTTCGGGCAGGAACTAGCGGAACGATCGGTGGGCCCTAAAAACCTAACAGGTTTCCTGCTCTGAATACCATGTCAGAATCAACTGTGCAGGAATGGATGAACTATGAATGAGTTGGGTACAAGTACTAACCCTAAAGTGTTGTACACCTTGTAGGCTAACCCACTATAGCCTAGAGAGAACACAAACATATAGTTTGACATGTGGCACTGCTCAAGAAGTTGCCTCGTTTGAGGCTGATTAGAGCGGAAGGTTTCTTCTCGCGTTTATTCGTGCTGATAATTTTTCCTGGTCTGGAGCTGGGTTGGTAGTGTTGCTCTCGGTTATATGAATCAGAATGATCGTCTTAAATTTTCAATGTTGTAACCTTTTTATTTTCAGCAATTCCTCTTGTTCTATGCCGTATAACCCCGGATTTAGGCGCCGTCCAATTAAAGGCGCCGGCGCTTCTATCTGGAGCATGGCGCTTATGGCCGGAACTCGATTATAAGCGCACTCCCTGTTTTGCCTGTATTTATTAGAAGCGCATCCCTTAAACTTTTATAGGAAGTATTACAAAGAAATCACTAAAATGTAACATTTTCTTAGACTACCATCATACCGGTAGCAACTACAACCTCTGATTATCCTAGATCTTCTAACAACACCTTAAACCGGGGTACTTCTGCCTAACAAAGATCTACCATTACCCCTGCTACTCGTCCTCGTCAGATTCGGGCTCCTAGCAGTTGTTGCAAAAAAACCCATCAGCGATGATGTCATCATCGACATCCACTGTTAACAATGTTGTAGCCTTTTTATTTTCAGCAATTCCGATTGCAGATTCGTCCCAAGGGCAATCGTCGGGCTGTCCCCAACGTGCTGCCGGCGCGTACTCCACGTCCACGTACTCATCTGGGGCCTTGTTAGAATCCGGTTCGGAGAGTTATTCGTCAAACGCCGATGGGAGCAGCAGCGTGAGCATGGGCTGATTGCCAGTGTGTTGCGGAGACACCAGACACTGAGTAGACGGAGGAACAGGAGGAACAGGAGGCGCAGGCGGAGCAGGAGGTGAAGGAGGAGCAGGCGGCTCAGGAGGCGCAGGAGGCTGTGGTGGCTCTGGTGGTTCTGGTGGGATACGGGAGTACCACCCGTCAGCGTCAACTCTAAACGCGGGCCTTCGCGTAGGTTTATTATTGAACAAGAAGTGTGTGCCGCTGAATTCCGCCATGGCTTCCGCAGCCAGGCGGGAGAGAGCAAGAAACTGAACGAGAAACTGACAGAATGGGAGAAGAAATGAAACATTGAAAGGGACCCCTTCTGGTTAGCGGCTCGGGGTCCTCATCGGGGAGAGACGGGTACCCCCCTGTGAAAGGTTTAAAAGGAAGAAGAAGAAGGAGGGTTGCACTAGCAAGAATGAGGATACAAATAGCAAACCCTAGAAGGGTTGTACTCGCTATAGAGCACCCCACTACAGGCTAGAGCATAATATTCTGACACACCCCCATAGCCAAAGTGGGGTGTAATCAGCAGAGCAAGCACAGCAGTACAAGCTCAGGGTGGATCACAATGTCACCACACATTCTGAGCACAAGTTCAAGAAGCAATAGTTTAAAGTTCACAATTATGAGCAAAGCTAGAGGCTATCGCAGAGGGCAAGTGAGGAGGAGGAGAGACTGTGGGGGAGAGAAGATGGGAGGCGACTGCTGACGCTGCAGACACACAGACGAGCTGCTGGCTCAGTGGCTACCGGAACAACGCTCCGGACTACTGGGGTAACTGGCCCCGCGGCTAAAAGTAGCGGCAGACGAGCAACGGACCCACGGGCGACTGGCGACTACCGGAGATTGTAGCCTCCGGACTGCTGCTGCTGCTGACGACAAGACTGCTGCCTCCACTCGACCTCCCCCAAACAGTACCACCCCTCCTGACACACACCCGCTGCTACACCGCTAGCTCCACTCCCCCTTCACCCCCCCTTAGCACCACTCCAACGGCTCCAACAAGTCCACCCCCCCTCAGCGGCAGCTGCAGCACAGGGAGACGGAGGAGGAGGAGGAGCAGGGAACGGCACACAGTAGTTTCACCCCCATACCCCTCACCCCCAAACCCTAATTCAGGAGAACGGGCTGTAGGAGGGGTGGGGCGCCAGCAGAAGCACGGGGGACAGTGGGGAGGGCAGGGGCAGCGAGGAAAGGGCCGCCCACGGGCCTGGCACAGCTTCCCGAACCGCGCGCAGGCGGCCCGAGCCGCGCGCGGGCCTGGCGCAGCCCGTACGGGCCGCGCGCGGGCCTGGCGCAGCCCGTACGGGCCGCGCGCGGGTCTGGCGCAGCCCGTACGGGCCGCGCGCGGGTCTGGCGCAGCCCGTACGGGCCGCGCGCAGGCCTGGCGCAGCCCGTACGGGCCGCGCGCCGGCTGTACGGGCCGCGCGCAGGCCACGACGGGCGACGAGGGGCGACGCGCGGGTCCCCGTCGCCCGTCGCAGCGCCTCCCGAGGGCGACGCGGCGAGTGACGGGGTAGAAGCCCGCCGCGCGCCTCGGGGCGCACAGCGGGCAGAGAACCGCCGCGCGCCACGGGGCGCACGGCGGGCAGAAAACCGCCGCGCGCCTCGGGGCGCACGGCGGGAAGAAAAACTGCCGCACGCCACGGGGCGTGCGGCACAGAGGGTAGGAGTGGAAGTTGCAGCGGAAGCAACGAGGTGGTGAGCCCACCCACAGGATCGATCCAAGGGGATCGACCTGCTCTGATAGCATGTGAAAGGTTTAAAAGGAAGAAGAAGAAGGAGGGTTGCACTAGCAAGAATGAGGATACAAATAGCAAACCCTAGAAGGGTTGTACTCGCTATAGAGCACCCCACTACAGGCTAGAGCATAATATTCTGACACCCCCTGCCTGAACCCGGAGAGGAGGGTATCGCGGCACGTACATGCTGCGCTGGCAGGGCATTCCACCCCCTTCTCGATGGTTTGGGTGAAATGCAGCTGCCTGCCAGCGCATGACAGCCTGATTGGGCCGCACTGCAAGTTTCACGTCAGCGCTGGCAGGTGCGTTGCTCCTGGACGGGCTTTGTGCGATCGGAAATCGAAGCGCGGCAGTTTTCGGCGGGATTTCATGCATGATCCCACGCGCACGGTACACAGTCGTGTTCGCCTTATTGAGGGCTTCAATTTGGTATATATAAATACTAAATACATTTTTGCCATTATAAAAGCGCCGGCGCTTATGGCCGTTACTCAATTACAAGCGCCGGCCCTAAAACAATGAATTTATTATAAGCGCATGTGCGCCTATATCCGGGGTAATACGCTATACTGAATGTCCAATGTTCACTCTGCCTAACCGTGTAATTATGGAGAAGACAACTATAACGAGGATTTTCTGTTTTGACATAATAGAGCGATCCGACGAACAGCCACCGCAGCAATCTGGTGAGTCGGATGGAAAAGGGGGATCTTGATAACTCGGCCTTCTGCACTTCATACGGTACCCTGCTTTTTCGTGGTCTAGTCCAGAAAGGCACAAAACCTAGTTTGACCGGTTAGGGTGGGTTAGGGGAGTTACATTTCATCACTTCTTGCCAATTCAGCGTACGCTTAGTAAACTGTTGAGGTCGCTGCCGATACTTCTCATTGCCTTCCTCTCATCTCTTGAGACAAGATTCCCGTCCTCTTTTCTTCCCACGGAAACAGAACTCACGAAACTCCAGTCTCCTCATCCCACGCGATCATCCCAATGCTATGCCAGTCCAAATCGAAACTCCCTTGTCAACGAAAAAGCAGTTTGTCAAAATAAGTTATATGTTGTGTAGGCTGTAGTGGGGTAGACTGTACTGGTTAGCTCTACTTGTACTCCTCACTTATGCTAGTGCACCTCATTCCGCTGTATTGATTCTGACATGGTTTCAGAGCAAGTCCTGATCTAGGATCGTTTTTTTTAGGGCCCACCGTCACTCCTTCCACAGGAGCTGCTGCCGTCGCACGCTGCCCTGCTCGCCGCGCGCGTTCCCTGCCCTGCCCTGCCCCGCGCGGTCACTCTGCTCCGCGCTGCCCCGCGCTGCCCTGCTGCGGCGCATGCTGCACTGCTGCTCGCGCTGCCCCGCCGCGCGCTGCCCTGCTGCCGCGCGTGCTGCGCTGCTGCCCGCGCTGCCCTGCTCGCCGCGCGCGTGCCCTGCCCTGCCCAGCGCTATCGCGCTAACCTGCCCCGCGTGCCCCGCGTGCCCCGCACGCCCTGCTGCCCTGCGCCCGTGCGCGCCCTGCTGCCCCGTACCAGCGCGTGTCTGCTGCCCAGCACTAGTGCGTGCCTCGTTGCCCTGCTGCTTGCGTGCCCCGCGTGTCCCGCTGCCCAGCGCCCGCGCGCGCCCTGCTGCCCAGCGCTAGCGCGCGCCCCGCTGCCCAGCGCCAGCGCGTGCCCCGCTGCCCCGTGCCCGCGCGTGCCCCGCTGCCCAGCGCCAGCGCACGCCCCGCTGCCCAGCGCCCGTGCGCGCCCTGCTGCCCTGTACTCGCGCGTGTCCCGCTGCCCAGCGCCCACACGCGCCCCGCTGCCCAGCGCCCGCGCGTGCCCTGCTTCCCTGTGCCCGTGGGCGCCCCGCTGCCCAGCGCCCACACGCCCCTGCCCTGCCCTGCTAGCGCTGCCCGCGCGCAAGTGCTGCTGCTGCAGCTGTCGCCCGCTGCTGGAGCTCCCGCCCGCACGCCGCCCTGCACCGTGCGCTGCCCGCGCGCGACTGCCCTGCCCTGCCTTGGGCGCCTGCCCTGCCTGCACGCTTGCATGTGCACAGCGCGCTCTGCCCCGCCCTAGGTGCTGCTTCCCTAAGTGCTGCCGCCTGCTGCTACTGCCCTAGGTGCTACCCCCTGCTTCTGCCCTAGGTGCTCCCGCCTGCTGCTGCCGTCCTAAGTGTTGCCGCTGCCGCCCTAGGCACTGCTGTGTTGCCGCCCTAGGTGCTGCTGCTGCCGCTCTAGGTGCTGCCGCCTGCTGCTGCCCTAGGTGATGTCCCCTTAGGTGCTGCCGCCTGCTGGTGCCGCCCTAGGTGCTGCTGCCACCCGCGTGTGCTGCCCCGCGCTGCCCTGTCCCGCGCTAGCGCCGCCTTGCCCCGAGCGCTGCTACTGCTACAGCCGCCGCGACTGCCGCCTTTGCTGCTGCTGCTCCTTCTAATGCCCTTGCTACTGCTACTGCTGCCGTTACCGCTGCTATGGCGACTCCCACTGTGCTAGCCTTAGACGCAGAGGGGCACCCTATACAGTTTGAGTCCTGGCTAGAGGGTATGCACCAGTACCTCCAGAGTGTCACTTAGGACAACGCCTCCCTGTTCGAGCACACGTCGGGGTCCCTTCCGGCCCCCGAGGCTCCTGCTGAGCCTGCTGCTGACGCTGGGGAGGAGGTGTGGACGCAGTACCGCGCAGCTCACGTTGCCTACAAGCGGTGGATGGCGCGCGACACCGCCGCCAAACTTGGAGTCCGCGCTCACCTCTCGCTCGCCCAGAGAGCCAACTTTCGCCAGGTGCCGTCGGCCCATGCTTTCTATACCGCTGTGGTTAGGCGCTACTCCCCCCCCCCCCTCCTGCCACCCTAGGCTGCCTTGAGCTGCCTCTTACCTTCCCTGCGCTGTCAGACCTCGCCACTGTAGCTGACGAGGGTGGTCGTAGTGGAGCTGGCGAGAGTGGCGGGGGCGGGCAGCAGCAATTAGAGTCTTCGTGTGTCGCTGCTTGTGCGCCTACTAGCACTGGTGCGGTTCCTGCGGAGGCGTTGCTCTCGGTCCCTGTCACGCTGGCCGACCCCACCTCTGGACTAGTCTATGCGCACCCCTCCACTGTTCTCTCGTGCCTAGTAGTCCCCTCTGACTCCTCTGGCTCGACTGAGGGGGGTGACTCTGCTGCTGCCGACACAGCAACCTCTCGCCGCTCGCCGCGCTCGGAGACACCTCTGGGTTTTCCGCCTCGGACGTCTTCGCCTCCTCTGCAGCCTGTCGCTGTAGACTTCGGGGGCCCAGGTGTTGTTGGGGGTGGTGGCTCTGGGGGTGCTGGTTCTGGGGGTGCTGGTTCTGAGGGTGCTGGTTCTGGGGGTGCTGACTCTGGGAGTGCTAGGAGTCCTCTTGTTGGTGGACTTGGAGGTACTGGTACTGGAGGTGCTGGGTCTGGGGGTGCGTTGCAGTCGCTGCCGCGGCGGCCTATCTTCTTGGAGCAGCCGTCGTCGTCGCTACCTGAGCCGACGCCCACTCGTACTACTCCTCCTCTTTTGTTTCCGCCGCCTGACATGTCTCGGCCATTGTTGCCGCCTGACTCCCCTCTGCCTGCTCCTGCTCGATACTCCCCGTTGCCCATCTCCCTGACTGGGCGTTGGGTGCCTGTGTCTTGTGCTGCCTCCCCTACTACCTCTCGTTTTATTCGGGAGCCTATTGTCCCGTCGTTACCTCCCTCGCCTTCTTTTCCTGCCGTTCCTGACCCTGTGTCTGACCTTGCTCGTGCTGCTCGCCCGACTATCCCTTGTTGTCTAGCCGCGCTTGTGACTGAACCTACTTCTTTGACTGCTTCTGCTTCTGCCTTAGTAGCTGAGCTCGCAGGCTTTGCCGCTACTTGCCGCCGTGCCTACCTTGCTGGTCTCGTTTCTGCCTCTTCGTGTCCTACGTCCGTCGGGGGTGAGCTTGCCCTTGGCTGTGACGTCCTTGAGGACAGACAGCTCAAGCTGGAGTACCTGCCGTACCCTCTCAGCCGGACTCGCTACGTTGCGTCCGGGAGACACCACCCTGCACATTGGTGGGCTGCTAGGAGGGTGCTGCGCTACTTGGTCAGACTAGCAAGCATAACGTAGCACTTTGCACTTCGTTCCTTTGCCGTGCGAGTGTTGCAACAGCGTTCCCAGCTTCGCCTTTGTACGTGGCCACACGAGCCAACACTGCTTGTCTCTTGATCTTGTCTTGTACTTTGATATATAAACCTGCATGTTTCTGGTTGCTAGGTTGTAATCATTGTACAGCTTGCTCTATTATAAAACTGCATGTGAACTGGCCTTGTGGCCACTTGCTTGTGCTCGGAATGCGTGGTGATCTTGAGATCCACCCTGAGCTTGCTTTGCTTTGTTTCTTCTCTTGACTGGTCTTGTGACCGCTTGTTGTGTTTGTTATCCCCCACTTCGTCTATGGGGGTGTGTCAAAATAACTTATATGTTGTGTAGGCTATAGTGGGGTAGACTGTTCTAAGTACAACCCATTAGGGTTAGCTCTACTTGTACTCCTCACTTATGCTAGTGCACCTCATTCCGCTGTATTAATTCTGACACAGTTGGCGAGTCTAGCCAGCAGCAACAGCCTCGAGATAATCATACTGGACTGAGTACCAAGTAGGCCAAGAGGGTACGGTGACGTTGTGAAAAGGGAGTACCGTATTGCTTTCTCAGTATCGTCGTAGAAGCATCGTCATCTCTTCGTGCTGGTTTTCTCACAATCGCAGCCTCGAAACACCCATTCCCATCGACACCGGAGAAGCAGGATGTTGTTCGCGCGACTAGACGACACGCCAATGCTGCGCAAGCAGGTACTCCGCTTTGCTCTGCTCGTTTCCGCCATCGGAATGGCGTCGCTAGTGCCAGATCGAAGGAGTACGTTTTAGATTTCACATGTTTTACCTCCATCCGTCTTTACAAGCGAAAGATGCGTGATCCGTCCCGTTCGTTCTGTCTAGACTCGTCGCGTACGTCCTCTCTAGGTCGGGAATGCCACTTCGTTTAGTTGGATAGTATTGCCATCCAACTTCGTCTAGGTCGGGAATGCCACTTCGTTTAGTTGGATAGTAATGACTTAGGGCGAGAGCTGGATGAAAAGTTGTCGCATTGCCATCGTTGGACTTCAAAACGTGAAAGCGGTCGTTCTTTCTCTCTTTCTGTCGATCCGCCTCATTGTTTCGAGCCTTGAAAGACAATGCTTCCCCGAGGCTCAATTCCCCGCCTCGCATGCTTTGATCCCACTTGTTGAACCCTCACAGCCCGTACATGTTATACGATTCTCTCCCTGCATCCCTTCTTGACTCGCGACGGCCTAGCATAACCTTATCCGCGTGTAACCTACCCCTGCACGCATCTGTTCTTATCCGTGCGCGACCTTTTCCCTGCAAGTGGCGTCGCTGGAGGAGAGTCTGGTGCTGCTGAGGTTGAGACGTCTCAAGAACCCACATCACCCTCCCCACATCACCCTCTCCACATCACCCTCCCCACATCACCCTCCCCGCATCACCCTCCCCACATCACCCTCCCCGCATCCCACTCCCCGTCTGCCTGTGCGACTCTCCCTGCAGCTGGTGTCACTGGAAGAGAGTCTGGAGCTCTTGAGAGACCGCTGTTGCCAGCCTTGAGACGTCTCAAATCCCCGCATCCCTCTCCCCGCATCGACCTCCCCACATCACCCTCCCCGCATCACCCTCCCCACATCCCACTCCCGGTTTGCCTGTGCGACTCTCCCCGCAGCTGGCATCGCTGGAAGAGAGTCTGGAGCTCTTGAGTGACTGCTGTTGCCAGCCTTGAGCCATCTCAAATCCCCGCATCCCTCTCCACGCATCGACCTCCCCACATCACCCTCCCCACATCCCAATCTCCACATCACCTTCCTCGCATCACCTTCCCCGCATCACCCTCCCCGCATTACCCTCCCCGCAGCTGGCGGCGCTGGAGGAGAGTCTGGTGCTGCTGAGGGGCCGCTGCTGCCTGCTCGCTCGCTCGCATCTCTGATGCCGCTCGCTCCATGCATGCCGTTCAGTCCCCCAACGTTCTACGCCCTTGCATAACCCTTCGTGAATCCCTCTCCCCGCAGCTGGCGTCCTTGGAGGAGAGTCTCGAGCTCCTGAGGGACCGCTGCTGCCAGCTTGCGCGCAGTTGCAACGACTTCGCGCGAGTCGCCTCTCGCCCTGCCGCTCATTCACTCCTGGCCGCACCTGCCAATTTCTCTGCTTCATCGATCCCTCCGCAAAGTGCCCTCTTTTAGGCGCCTCAAAAGTAGCCTCTCGCTGCTACGCAATCGCTCATGCGCTTGGCCATGCGTGCCCATTGCGCAGCTTCATGCATCCCTCTTCAAAGTGTCGCTCCCCGTGCACCCCTCGATGTTCCTCACACCCCCCTCCAATTCAATGTTCTTACCCCCACTGCAGCGCGTCCCTGGGCTGAGCGAGTCGTTCAAGGCGGAGAGTACCTTCGGCACGCCATGGAGCGATTCTTCCCCAAAGCCTATTTTTGAGTCGACTCAAGAACTTCGGCACGCCATGGAGCGTCTTCCCCAAAGCGTCGCTCCCGTTGCACCTCTCGCTGCTCCCCATGCACTCCTCAAAGCATCCCATGCAACCCCCTCATCCTTTTCCCCCCCACTGCAGCGCGTCTCTGGGCGAGTCGTTTGAGGCCGAGAGTTCCTTCGTGCACGCCTTGGAGCGCTTCTTAGGAGCTCCCGAGGATGCTGTCAGCATCGCCACTAGCGGTGAGCTGCACAGGGTAGTGAGCTGCGCAGTGCAGGGTGCATGCACACACGGACTGTGCGAGCGGTGGGCTGGCTGCGAGGGTTGTGGGGTTAGACTGATGCCAGACGTTGCTCCGCTCCCCTTCTTGACTCCAAGCATCTGAACGCCCGTTTCTTGCCAGGCCCTGTGCCGGGTCAGTCGATGATTGCACTGAAGGGACTTCGCTTCCACCTTATCCACTCCCATGCTTCTCCCCTCCCCACTCCACACCTCCTCCTCCACCCTTCCCCTCCCCCGTCCTCCTCCCGCCCCCTGCTATCTCCCATGCGCCTCTTGCCCGAAACCGTTTGTTTCCGACAGGCCCGGTGC